GGAGATGTGATATCCACCCCACTCCCACTCCCCACCAACCCCCTGGTCTGTATAATGGCGAAGAGAGGAGACCACAGGCAGTGAGTGGTTGCTGCTCTTACTGACACCCACACATCTGACCACAGTCCAAGTGGGGTATCCAGGCTGCTGGGTGGTGATGACAGCTAACGTGTTCAGTTATGCCAGCCAAGAGGCTGGAGGTCCCATGCACCCTTTGAAAACCCCATGGGGTCAGTCGACTCAGTGCCAACTGGTCTCCGTATCATTAGCCCCATCTTCAGTCCTCACAAGTTCAAAGATTTGGTTACCCTAAACTAACCCTAACCCACTACACTGAGCCCATTCTGATTCATAGGGACCCTATATCGGGTTTCTGAGACTGTCAATCTTTATGGGAACAAAAGGCCTCATCTTTCTCCTGTGAAGTGGCTTGTGGGTTTGAACTGCCTACCTTGGAGCCAGCAGCCCAATGCCTAAACCACTGCATCAATAGTGTTTAACCAATAGGAGGCAATACCTCTCACCTGGCCTACATAGGAGGCTGAGAGTCTGGTCCTCAAGTATCTCTGAAAAAACAAACTCACTGCCACTGAGTGGATGCTGACTCATAGTGACCTTATAGGGAACAGCAGAACTGCCTGGAAATTTCCAAGACTGTAACTCTTTATAAGGGTGGACAGCCTCGTCTATCTCCCACAGAACAGCTGGTAGGTTAGAACTGCTGACCCTGTAGTTAGCAGCCCAACATGGAATTACTACCCAAAGGAAAATGCTCAAGATGACAGACACAACCAACACAGCAAAACTCAAGCTTCTTGCTGGTGTTGGAAGAAGTTGCCTTGGGGTCACGTGTGACAGTCCATAACCTGGGCACGGGCAGAAGAACTCACTTGGTAGCTACACCTGATTTGACAAGCAAGTCAAATCCTTCCTGAGCACGGGAAGGGGACATGCCACAGTACCAGTGTCAAGGTATTAGAAACGGGCTCATGTACTTGAATGAACGGAGTGGTGCATAGACCCCCCTAATAATGACCTTCTGACCTCACCTTGAGGAGCCCTGGTGGCGGAGTTGTTCTGAGTTGAGCTGCTAACTGCAAGGCCAGCAGTTCAAACCCACCAGCTAGCTGCTCCACGGGAGAAAGACAGGGCTTTCTACTCCTGTGAAGAATTACAGTCTAGGATATCCACCGGGCAATTCCACCCTGTGCTACAGGGTTGCTGTCAGTTGGCTTCGACTCAATGGCAGCGAGTTTGGTTTGGGTCTGGACCGCACCTCACACAGGTGTTGGCTGGGCTGTGGTGCTCACTGTGTGTGTTTGTTTCTCCCTGCAGCCAAGATGACCCGTCTGCTTTGCTCGGTCCTCCTTGCTCTCCTAACATCTGCCCGCTGGGGGAGCACGGGCCCGGCAGGGGGGCCTGCAGAGCCGGAGCCACTGACCAACACAACCCCGGGCCTGCCCATCATTGCCGCCAACTTCCACAAGGAGAACACGGTCACCAACGTCTGGCTGGATGAGGGCGAGGAGGACGAGGACTACCTGGACCTGGAGAAGCTCCTGAATGAGGATGACGACTACATCGACATCATCGACGCCGTGGCGCCTGTCGACCCCGCAGCCCACGCTGGCAACATCCTCCAGCTCTTCCCAGGCAAGAGCCGCATCCAGCGCCTCAACATCCTCAATGCCAAGTTTGCTTTCAGCCTCTACCGGGCTCTCAAGGAGCAGGTGGGTGCCGCGGAGAACATCTTCATTGCACCTGTGGGCATCTCCACAGCCATGAGCATGATCTCCCTAGGCCTGCGGGGCGATGCCCTCGACCAAGTCCACGCGGTGCTGCACTTTGAGGACTTCGTCAACGCCAGCAGCAAGTATGAGATGGTGACTGTGCACAACCTCTTCCGCAAGCTCACACACCGGCTCTTCCGGAGGAACTTTGGGTATGTGCTGAGGGCCGTCAATGAACTTTACGTCCAGGAGCGCTTCCCCATTCAGCAGGACTTCAAGGCCAAGGTGCAAGAGTACTACTTTGCGGAGGCTCAGCCGGCCAACTTCGAGGACCCGGCCTTCATCGAGAAGACCAACCAGCACGTCCTGAAGCTGACCAAGGGCCTCATCAAGGACGCACTGCAGAGTGTCGACCCCGTGACCCAGATGATGATCCTAAACTGCATCTACTTCAAAGGTAAGAAATGGCCTCTCTTCAAAATGGCGAGCTCTTTTTCAGGACGTAGGGGCTAAACTGTCAGGGGTCATCGGCTAACTGCCAGCTATCCATGAGGTCAAGCTCATGGTCACCTCAGAGGCCCAGGGACAGGGAGGGCCCAGGCAAGGGGAGGCAACGGGCTGAAGCTTGCTTCCTCCTCAGGCCAACCATGGGAGGGTGTCCCCACAAAACAGTGATGCTCCATGGGCACACAGCTGGTTAGGGGTGGGGCCAAGGAGAGGCCCAGGCGGTTCCATCTAAGGGGTGTGACCTTTCAGCCACACTGGCAAAGTGCAGTGCAGAACACAAACCAGGCATTTGGTCAAATGGATTTGAGGGCTCTTATTCTTTTTCTGGTCCTTACCCTGTTGTTGGAAGGAGCCCTGGGGGCATAGTGGTTACCTGTTGAGCTGCTAAACACAGGGTCAGCAGTTTGAAACCACCAACCACTATGTGGGAAAAGAGCAGGTATTCTATTCCTTAAGAGCTAGAGTCTCAGAAACCCACAAGGGTAGTTCCACCTTGACTTTTGGGGTTGCTTCCAGTCAGCATCAACTCAATGGCAGAAAACTGTTTTTCAGTAAGCAGATATACGAGGGGGTACATCCCCCAAAAACAGAGTTTTTAAATTTTAACAAAAGAACCTTATCAGCTTCAAAGTACTCTCTATGACACTCAATACATTTGTCAAGTTTGCGATTCCATTCTTGGAAACATTTTTCAAACTCATCTGTTTGGATGGCTGACAGCACCTTCCTCGTTTTTTTTCTTCGCCTCTTCTAAGCTGTCAAATAGCTGTCCTTTCATGTCCCTCTGCATTTTTGGAAACAAAAAGAAGTCATGGAGTGAGGTCAGGTGTGTGGGGCAAGAGAGGTATGCTGTTTTTGCCGCCAAAAACTGGCACACTCAGATGGCTGTGGGAGCAGGTGCATGGTTGTGGTAGCAAAACCAGTCCCCCATCTGCCACAAATCAGGCCTTGTTCGTTGTACACTGCTATGCAATCTTTTCAGAACCTCTACATAGAAAGCTTGATTAACAGTCTGACCTGAAGGAATGAACTCCAAATACACTAGCCCCTCACATCAAAAAACAAAAAATGGATGAGCATCATCTTGATCTTTGATTTTACTTGATGAACTTTTTTGGGGTGAGTTGACATGATGGCGTCTTCCACTGGCTTGACTGATGTTTGCTTTGGGGGTCATAAGAATAGCACCATGTCTTGTCACCAGTAATAACTTTGGGGAAAAGTCTGAGTCACTTCAGAGCTGTTCTTTCAAAGCATGGTATGTTCCCACTCCAATCTTTTTTCCTAATCAGTCGGAACCTGAGGCACAAATTCATTCCCAAATCTTCCGTTAAATTTTGCTGCACTGAACTCCAGGTAGTCCAGATAACTTCCCCGTCTCTTCAATGGTCTGTCGTCAGTCTTCAAGCACAGGTGCAGGAATTCTTCTGACATTTTCGTCTGTTCAGCAAGTTGAAGGATGTCCTAAATGAGGTTTGTCATCAATCGACATGTCACCGTTTTTGAAATGAGAAAACCACTTATACACTTGAGTTTTTCCCATAGCACTGTCCTTGTAAGCCTTGTTCAACATCACAACAGTTTCTGTGGCATTTTTCCTGAGCAGGAAACAAAATTTCACAGCTGCACACTCTGCTCTCTTAAATCGGCCATGACAAAAAAAAAACCAGGTTCGAGTGAAACTGCTTTTACGAAAAATTCACTGTGACCAGAGAGAACCCAGGCGAGGCCACTGGGTGCATTAACTCAGAGCGAGTTGCTCAATGTCCACCTGGTGGGAAAACTGCATACTTTGAAAGCTCTGCCAGTGGAACTTTTCCATTTGGGGGGATATGTCTAAAAAACATCTGTTGTCAATTGTTCAGCTCCAACAGCTGGTGTGAACATCTGACCTGTTCTGGGTGATTCTGCATGGAGGAAGAGCAGTAGCAGCACAGTAGTTACATGCTGGGCAGCTGGGCACCACCAGCCACTCTGCGGGAGACAGATGCGGCTGTTGGTCCCTGTTCAGCTCTATGGTCTTAGAAAACCCTGTACAAAGTTGCTATGAGTTGGAATTGACTCAAGGGCAGAGGGCTATAGGTCTTTTGCATGAATGGGCGGGGGAAATGCACACTTTGTTCTCACACAACTGTTCCGGGTCATGTATGAGGGCACTTTCTAGGAAGGGGCAGAGTCACCCCTCACCAGGACCCCTGGGAACTAGGAATACAAGCGTGTGAATTCGTACAGACCAGAACGAGCCGGTCTTTAGCAAAGCCCCCAAGAGGATTGGGCTGGAAGCAGCTGCACTTTCCCGCATGAACCCAGGATTCTGGAAGACAGACCTGGGGGCAGGTGGGCAGTAGGCCTGGTCACTACATACACAGCTGCTCTTCCTACCTGCAAAAGATCTGGCAGGCCGAGGCTGGGGCTGATCCCCAAGGACTCCAGAAAACGCCCTGCTATCAAGTTGGTTCCGATTCAGGGTGAGCCTACTGGACAGGGTTGAACTACCCCTGTGAGTTTCTGGGAGTAGAAAGCCCCTTCTTTCTCCCACAGAACAGCTGGTGGTTTTGAACTGCTGACCACTACCGCCACCAGGGCTCCTTCCTGAGGACTCTGGTTCCATGGTTCCTTGGCTGGTCAGTGGGAATACAGTTCTACCGTCCCCTCATGGAGAAAGGCAGAGGCGACAGCAAGTGCACCCACCAGCAGGTGGCTGAGAAGACGAGGGGACATGATCCGTTTATAATCACTCGCCTGACCACAGGAACGAGTTTCAAAACCCCACATCCACTGCCAATGAGTCCATGCTGACTCCTAGACATCACATAGGGCAGAGCAGAATTGCTCCTTTGGGTTTCCAAGCCTGTCCATCTCTATGGGAGAAGGCTGCCTCCTCTTTCTCCTGAGGAGCCTTGTGGTGAACAGCCCTGCGCTTAACCTCCTGCACTAGCACCAGAAGGGCTCAGCTATTAGTAAAGGCCCAATCTCTGGTGCATCAGCCATGGCCCTTCCCTCCCTAGCCCCCTATCTGTCACCAGCGGACAGGGTAGAACTGCCCCTGTGAATTTCCAAGACTGGAACTCTCTGGGAGTAGAAAGCTCCATCTTTCTCCCAGAGCAGCTGATGGTTTTGAACCACTGACTCTGAGGTTAGCAGTCCAATGAATAACCACTACACCCCTGGGGCTCATGAAGACGACCCCACAGAGGGCAGGATCAGCTGACAGAAGCACGTTTTCTAAGTGCAGCAGAGGCCAGGCTATGCATTGGGCTGCTCACCGCAGGGCCAGCAGAAGGAATCCATACCAGTTGCTCCTCAGGAGGAAGATGAGGCTGTCTGCTCCTCTAAAGACGGACAGTTTCAGAAACCCAGAGGAGTAGGTCTTCCCTCTCCTTCAGGGTCACTATAAATTGGAATCTTTTCGATGGCAGTAGGGTCAGACCCAGATGCAGTCTACCCCAGACATCTAACAAACCTCGCTACCACTGTTTGGGGCTGGCTTTCTCAACATCTCTGATGGGGTGTCCTCGGACACAGTGGTTCTGAGTATGGCCCCAGGACCGCTAGTATCGGCTGTCCCAGTCAGAGTATAAACGAACCTTTGGGGCTCCTGGGGCTCTATCTTAGGCATGCTAAGGGGGCTCTCACTCTGGCCACGCTGCAGGCTCCTGGGTGAACAAGTTCCCTATGGATATGACGCACAACCACAACTTCCGGCTGAATGAGCGTGAGGTAGTCAAGGTGCCCATGATGCAGACCAAGGGGACCTTCCTGGCGGCGAGTGACCAGGAGCTGGACTGTGAGGTCCTGCAGCTGGAGTATGTCGGGGGCATCAGCATGCTCATCGCGGTCCCCCACAAGCTGTCGGCCATGAAGACCCTGGAAGCGCAGCTGACGCCCCAGGTGGTGGAGCGGTGGCAGAAGAGCATGACAAACAGGTGGGCTGTTTCAGATCCAAACAGAAGGGCTTGGGGGTGGGGTGGTGGCACAGTGGGCTATAAGCACTGGGCTGCGGGCAGAAAGGTCGGCAGTTGGCTCTGTGGGCGAGGCCGCAGCAGCCCACTTCTGTAAAGACTGAGAGCCTTGGAAACCCAGGGAGCAGTTCAACTCCATTCTGTGGGGTCATCGTGGGTCAGATTCAGCTTGAGGGCACTGGGTTTTTGGGTTGGGGGCAGTGATACTGGGCCTGAGGTGATTTTAAGAAAAGGGAGGAAACACACACGTATCTAAGAATGCCTTACATAGCGAGACTGATCAGAGAGCATTTGCTGAAAACAGATCTGTGTTCCAGTGACAGGGCCAATGCTGGGGTGGTGGTGGTGGCGGGGAGCGGGACAGGAGGCTTGGAATTGCCTTTGAGACAATTCCGATTCCGTCACATTTGGGCTCTGTGCTTTCAGCCACAGCTCCACCTCTCCAAGGGGCTTCTGGGAGAAACCAACAGCATGAGCCATGTTGAGCACCTTCAGTGCTTGAGACTCCTAGGTATCCAACAAAGATCGGTTCCCCTGCTCCCCTGCCCAAGAAATCCCCTAACCCCAAACCAAAAGCACTGCCACTGACTCGATGCCAACTCATACAGACCTCCTAAGGACAGGGTAGAACTGCCCCTGTGGATTTCTAAGACTGTAACTCTTTACTCGAGTAGAAAGCTCTGTCTTTCTCCCTGGGAGCAGATGGTGGTTTTGAACTGCTGACCTTGCAGTTAACCATCCAACGAGTAACCACTATGCCAACAGGGCTCCTTAAGAAAACCTCTTTATCTATTGAGGGGACTCTTGTTATTTCTTACTCCACATTGCAAATACCGGGCTTGAAAGAGTATAGTACGGTTAATTGTAATTAATAAGTGTTGGAGCAGGGTTTCAGGGTGATATGTCAGGGGCAGTCTACTTGTACGAGATCACGGCCACTGAGACCAATGGGACCCGTCCCTCTCTGATCCACAGTCGGAGGTGACTGATGTGACAGCGAGGGGTTAGGTTTTGGTTACTCCTGGTCCAGAGCAGAAAGGATGGAGAAGCCATCTTTTGATATTATGGATACAGACTGGCTGGTGCTGGTTGCCAGCAAGTGGACTCTAGCAGGTGGTGAGCCCACATAGGCAAAGTAGGACGTGCTGCTTTCACAGTCATGGCCTTTTTTGGCAACAGAGCACTAGCTCTGCCTTCCCAGGCACCTCTGGGTAGACCCGACCACGAGCCCACACTTCAGCTAAGCATCCGACCTAAGGAGCTACCCCTCCTGGGTGCTCTGCATCATGGGCAAGACCATATGAAGAAAAGCATCTCATCGCCTCAGAAGCCCAGAGCACAGAGAAACAGGCTCTTGGAGGAAGCTCTGTGCTCGGGACACCAGTTAATCATCAAACCCAGTCTTCTATCTCACTGCCCCACAGCCATGGCCTTAATCCATAAGAGCCCCACTGCCCTGCGTGTTCTATCTGTCCTGCCCCTTAGACACCAGGTCCCTGGGCCCAAGACCCCATCCTCCAACCTCTTCTCTCAGCCCTCTGTGGACCTTGGTCAGTTTCTCCCACCTCACCGGCTCCACAAAGCCCTCAGACCCACACCAGCTTCCAGGGGCTGGACACCCTCAGGCCATAAGCCTTCTTCCAGACAAGACCCACTGGTGGCTGGCTATGTCTTAGTGCTGCCTGCCTGTGCTTCCACCGCCACTCACCCAGGAACCTCCGATTGCCATACAGAGTGTAAGCTCCACATCTCTCTCCCCACTCAGGGTCGGGTGCACCGAGGGAGGGGCTGATGTCAAGGCAGAGACTTGAGCATGTCCACTGATTGCCCTGGAGTGGATTCAGACTCACAGCAAAGCTTGAGGACAGAACAGAACTGCCCCTCTAGTTCCCAAGGCTGTCTATCTCTTCCAGAGCAGACTGCCTTAGCTTTCTTCCTCACAGCAGCTAGTGGGCTCCAACCACTGGTCTTCCAGTTAGTAGCATAATGCTTAATCCATAGCACCACAAGGGCTCATTTCTCCTCTCCAATCCAGAACTAAGCTGCCTGTCATCAAGTACATTCCAACTCACGATGACCCCTTCTGGCAGAGCAGAAGTGTTTTATAGGGTGACAGAGGGCACAGATCTTAACAGAGGCAGACAGCCTGCCTCTTCTTTCTCCCACAGAGCAGGCACAACCTCCCACCTCCCTGTTAGCAGCCTGTCCGAGCCCCCATGCTCCTTCTGGATGCAAACACTGGCCCTTATGAACAAAATACATGTTACTTTAGAACCTGGGGACCAGACAAGACACTCTCTTCAGATACGTTCTATACCATAAACTCGGGGAGGGGGGAAGGCGGGGTTGATGAGGGGCCTCTTCCAAGAGTCCTCCTGGGACGGCACTGATTAAGGACCTGAACAAGTGCAGTGTCCATTCTGGGGCAAAGGTAGCTTGTGGCACTGGTGGTGGAGATAAAACTGTGATTTTTTTGTGTGTTGTAAAACTCCCTAAACTGAGTAACAGCCGCCCCCCCCCCCCCTTTCCGGATCCTTTAGAACGAGAGAGGTGCTTCTGCCCAAATTCAAGCTGGAGAAGAATTACAACCTGGTGGAGGTGCTGAAGGCGATGGGAATCACAGCGCTGTTTGACAAGAATGGCGACTTGTCAGGCATCTCTCAGGACAAGATCACCATCGACCTGGTAATCTTTCCCATGTGCCCCTGCCCCTAGGCCTGAGCTCACAGGATGGTGGCTGGGGCATAATGGGTCTCTCCTGCAGGGTGCACAGTCCACTCCACAGGGGACAGCTGGCAGCCACATGCCTCCTTGGAAGGTCAAGTCAACTGCACAAAGGGCAACTACTCAAGTACAGCCTTGAGTAGGCTCGCCCTGTGAATATATATGAGAGAGAAGGAAGACTAGCTGACCTAGTCACAAGTTCAGGCCCTCTCTCATGGACGTGCAGGCCCCTCACACGACTTGCACACCAGAGAGGGAGCCTCAGGCTAGTCCCTTCTCATCAGTGCACCCCAGAGAGGGTCCTGAGGCAGGGTAGACCAAGGTCCCTCATGGACACGTACCCTAGAGGGAGGCTGGAGAGTGGGCCTGTAGGCTCAGCTCCACAGGCCTCTTGCACTCTGAACTGCCAAGAGTGGGAACAAGCTGGCTGCACAGCACGATTACAGAGCTAGACAGGCGACTCCAGGCCTTTTCAAGGGCATTCTGACCACTTCCCTGCTCTGCCCACCATGTCCATCTATGGGGTCTGATGACACTCTGCTCTGTGCCCACAGTTCAAGCACCAAGGCACCATCATGGTGAACGAGGAGGGCACCCAGGCTGCTGCCGTGACCAGCGTGGGCTTCATGCCGTTGTCCACACAGGTCCGTTTTGCTGTCGACCGCCCCTTCCTGTTTCTGGTTTACGAGCAGCGCACTCACTGCCTGCTCTTCATGGGGAGGGTCACCAACCCGGCCAAGTCCTAGAGAGGGCTCCGGGCAGCTGCCGTGGTGGCTGTCAGGACACTGTGCGGGCGCCCTTCCCAACACGACGACAGACTGGCCGGCTGCAACGCTCCAGATCTCACGTGCTGCCCCGCGGGACAGGAGGCCACATGCACGGTCACCAGTGGCTGAGGAGCCCCTGGGAGCGTCGGTAGGAATGCCGAAGGAAGTCAGAGCTTTCTCCCAGAAAGTCAGAGAGAGGGAGCGAGAGGGTCTGTGCCCGAGGAGCTGCTACGTCCGTGTCTTCCCAGGCTCCCCAGTGGAACACGGTCCCCCAAACGAGTGGCCCTTTCTCAGGCCTCCCAAGGAGGGTGTATGCCCAGCAGTGCCCATGATGCGAAGGGGAGACCTGTGACGTGCTCGGGGCGCTCGAAGTATAATCCTATCCAGGCCCAGCCTCCTCTGTCTCGCTCAGTGTCACCGTGCCTTCTCCTGTCCCCTCACTGCTTCCCAGAGGACAGTGCCTGCACATGTGCGTGCGCACACACACGGCCCTTTTCCCCCACTAAAGAGATCAATAAATAGAATCGCCTTTACCATGTATCTGTTATACTCGCTGCCACTGAGTTGATGCCGACTCATAGCAACCCTATAGGATAGGGTAGAACTGCCCCTGTGAGCTTCCAAAACTAACTCTTAAAAAAAATTTATTATTAATTGGGAGTTAATACATATATATCATTCCATAATTCAATCACGTCAAACAGAATTGTATGATTGCTATCATGATCAGTTTCCAAACATTATTTATCTTCCTGGACTCCTTGACATCGTCTCCCTTTACTCTCCCACCCCCCCGAAACCCATATTCTATCTGCTGTCCCAATAGGTTCAATCAATCCTGGGTTTCATATACTGAAACCCAGAATCAAGATGAACTCTTTAAAAAAAAAATTTTTTTTTTTATCAAGATGAACTCTTTATGGGAGTAGAAAGCTTAGCCTTTCTCCTGAGAAGTGGTTGGTGGTTTTGAACTGCTGACCCTGCAACTAGCAGCCTGACATGTAGCCAGTACACCACCAGCACTCCTTAAACCTGTGACAACAAATCTTTCTTATTTGGAAGCTCAAGGAATTAGCAGAGAACACAGTGGGAACAGTGGAGGTCCAGATGAATGGGCCCACAGGACAAAGTAAAACTGCCCCTAGGGTTGCTGACACCGTCACTCTTTTTTTTGAAAAATCATTTTATTGGGGGCTCAGACAACTCTTATCACAATCCATCCATTGTGTCAAGCACATTTGTACATTTGGTGCCATCATCATTCTCAAAATTAGATTTCTACTTGAGCCCTTGGTATCAGCTCAATTCCCCCCCCCCTGCCTCCCTCTCCCTCATGAACCCTTGATAATTTATAAATTATTATTAGTCATATCTTACACTGTCCAACGTCTCTCTTCACCCACTTTTCTGTTGTCCACCCCCTGGGAAGAGGTTGTATGTAGTTCCTTGTAATCAGTTCCCCCTTTCCACCCCACCCTCCCTCCACCCTCCCGGTATTGCCACTCTCAGCACTGGAGACTGTCAATCTTGATGGAAGCTGCCGGCCTCCTATTTCTCCTGTGGTGCAGCTGGTGAGTTCAAACCACTGGCCTGGTAGTCAGCAGCCCAAAGCCTAACCTGCAGCACCCCAGAGCCCCACAAATCCAATGCCCTTGAGTCAGTTCCAGCTTATAGCGGCCTATTGGACCTCGGAGTGCAACTGCTCCCTAGGGTTCTTGAGGCTGTTCACCTTTCTCCCGAGGAGTGGCTGGTGGGTTTGAACCGGCAACCTTTTGGTTAGCAGACCAAGGCCGAACCTACTGGGAAACTAAGGCTCCTAGAGAGATGACGGAGGTTGGCAATTGCTCCCTAGGGTTCTTGAGGCTGTTCACCTTTCTCCCGAGGAGTGGCTGGTGGGTTTGAACCGGCAACCTTTTGGTTAGCAGACCAAGGCCGAACCTACTGGGAAACTAAGGCTCCTAGAGAGATGACGGAGGTTGGCAAACCCTTCTACACTGGGACCAATATGCTCCGGGGTGCTTTAGGGTTGGGGTGAAAAGCACTTTGAGTGTGGGCAGCCTCAGCCTCGCCCTTGGTCCTCCAGGGAGTGTCCTTCAATCCCAATGAGGACAGTGGTCATGGCTTCCCCTCACTGGGTACCAGTACCAGGGGAGTGTGACTGCACCATCCTCCTCCCCAGTCCACGTGTCGGCCTTGAGGTAGGTGCTGCCATCACCCACTTCTGAAGAGTTCCCAGAGGGACTGTCATTCCAGCCCGGCCGGTGGCCAGGCATTGGCTGCTAATGGTCAGTCTCCCTGCTCCTGTCCTTGCCGCTGCACGTACCCACTCTGTCCCTAGCACCTGGCTGTGAACTGATGAGAACAAGAGGCCAGGCCTGCCCCTGCTGCTCAGTGTGATGTCCAAGCCTGGGGTCTCTGGCTAATTCAAAGGAATGCCTCTATTGCTGATGCCCACCCTGTGAACTTCTAGGTTTGTGGTCTGCCCATCTGTTTTAGCTCTCTGCCATGTCTGTCTTCCACCCAAGGGGGGTAGGGGGCTCTGGACACATCCACTTGGAGGGCCATTGGCCCCTCCCACTCACAAACCATATGACTCTGAAGCAGGCTGCCTGGGTGGCTTCCAGACCTAGCACTAAAGCTTCCTACCTGGGGGCACATGGCTGCTCAGTGTCTCAGTTTTCTCACCTGCATGGTGGGAGAATGACACATCTGGCCCTCAGAGAGGAGCTGAGAGGAGCTCTAGCTCCACCAGAGAAGGGCCAGGCTAGGGGTTCCGGTGAAGATGGACTGCCTACATATGCATGTAGGAAACCCTATGTGCAGTTGGCATGAACTCAGTGGCCCCGGGTTTGTTCTTTGGCTACTGGTTGCAGAGCTGACGAGCAGAAATCGCCACAGCATGGGGGGAGGGGGACCTCAGAGTCATGTGCTCAGCCCCCTGGTGGCTCCTGCAGGTCCCCAAGGCCACACTGAAACCTGAGTCCTTGCCCAGGCCCACGGGCACTTCCCCCACAGAGACTCACTGCCATGCCTAGGAGATCCAGAACAGTCTCTTCTGACGACGAGAAAGCAAAATGGGCGAGGAAGCCATGTTTGAAGTTCGCTCTCCAAGAGGTGCCCGGGCTGGCCCTAAGGCAAGCCCCAGGTGTGTGTTCTCTGTGCTTCTCGTTGAGCAACCAAAGTCAAATATTTGTGACCTCCCCTGCCATCTAACCATTAACTTCTGCTGCACACACACTCACCCCTGCACGGGAGAGGTCATAGCGGTGGAGGAAACCCCAGTGTCTCTGGGGTGTGTGCGGACTGTCACAGGGAACAGGCAGACAACAGGGGTACCCCCAGCCCCATACTAGGCCCCACACAGCATTACCTTCCTCTTCATAGAATGAAATCAGAGGGGCACGCAGACTCACAGGGGGCTGAGCTCCCATTGGGTGTCCTCTTGGCACTGATTAACCACCACGTGACCACTGCTAAGGATCTAGAACGCTCCCAGGAGTGAGAGTGGTCAGGGATTCTGGAGTTCACTGATGGGAGCATCACCCCAAGACCTGCCATGACTCACTGCCCTGATTTCCAGCTTGCTGCGCGCCTGCCTCCTCCTCTCCCACGTCCTCCCCAGCAGCGCACACCACAGACGCTGATGGCCATATTGTCACACTCGTGGGGGCGGAGTGCTCTATGAGAGAGGGGGACCTGAGGTGCCTGTGAAAAAGGAACCCAGAAAGAAAGCCCTTCTGGGGCTGCAGTGGGCTTCCAGGGCTCCCCCCATGGAAGCCACAGGTGGTGCTTGCTTAGTGCCAGGCACGATGATGTGCTCGCTCTGGCCAGGATGAGTTGCATAAAGAGCCTGCCAAACAGCAGCCCCCATGAACCTGCTCAAATAAAACCCACCTCCCACTGGGTAATTATATCACTTTCCTCCTACATTTAACTCAGCAGTGTGCCTTGAAGGCTAATTCATGTCGCTACGTACATATTAAATCCTTGTTTTTCACTGAAAAAAACAAAAAACCCACCTCCCGCTGGATGGGGAGTGAGAAGCCTATGTGAGAGGCCATGCCAGCTTCTGGTTTGGGTACTTTTGTCATCCTCTTGCCTGCCACAAACACATGCTCTTTTTTTTTTAAACACCCAAAGAGGAAACCTCTACCAATGAAGTCAAAACTGCTCTGCTGGGAAGCTGGCCCCCGGGTCGGGGCCCAGGGAGAGCCAAGGGCCTACTACCCACCTCCCCTCCAGGCCTGTCCTATAACACCAAATTGTTTGCTTGTCAGGAGTCATGATAAAGTTAAAAACAAAAAGACAAGTCTTTAAAAATACCGTGGGGAAGAGAGTCCCCAGAAACCTTAAATGGCCTGAAGGCTGTGGCAGCCCAGCTGGTTACCAGATGGGAGGTGGCCAGGTCCCCAAGGGACACACAGGCTGGGAGCCCAGAGGCTGCCCTCCCTCGTATTGCAGACCCATCCACAAGCTCCCGCCCTGTCAGAAAGACAGCGGCAATCTGTATAGACTGGTCCTTCTCAACTAACCACCTTACTGAGGAACCCCTCTTCCCCCACAAAAGCCAAACTACTGCCAGCGCAGTGATTCTGATGCACGTCCACACTAGGAGGTTCCTGAGACAGTTGCTTTTCATGGGAGCACATAGCCTCATCTTTCTCTTACAGGGTGTGTTTGAACCGCCAAATCGCCAACCTCAAGATTAGCAGTCCCTTCCGTAACGCACAGCGCCACCAGGGAAGGCCAGGTAGCAAAGGATGGTGGGCCAACAGAAGGAAATGGAACCGCTTCTTACTAAAGAGTAACAGTAGGAAGCAAGTCCAACTGGCCAGCGAAGATGGACAGAGAGAAGTGCACGGTGCATATGGGCCAGCCAGAGGATGAAATGGCCTAGCTGGCAGAAACACTGCACCAGAGTCCAGAGACTCACTCAGACTGGCAAGCAGAAACAGCCTGAGGGAGGAGGAGGAGGTGGAAGTGAGTGATTAACAGGTAGAAACCACACCAAAACACAGGACCTGGATATATGATGGGGAATGAGTTTGTAAAGGCCAGCTGGGCTGGGCTAGGCCGGGCTGACAATGGGAAGAGATGTGGAGGGGGCTCCCCACCCCTGCTCAATAGCACTGCTCTGGGGAGCAGAGCTGGACCCACTGGCCAAACCAGCAATCCCCCCACCTCCCACCAGTAGGTTGCAGGCCGCAGCTCTAAGCCTGGATCCCAAAGAACGGGTTTGGAGCCTCATTTCACGAGGAGCAGGTAGGGGGGAGGTGGCAGGGGGCTGGCACGGGAGTGAGAGGATGAAAGGCAGGGCCAAGTAAAAAGGGAAAGGGGGCCAGGTCCCTGATCCAAGCATCTGGGAGTTCAGGGAGGGTGCAGAATGTGGGAGATGCAGGTGGTCCTGGCCAGCTCCCGCCCTCAGGATGGTGACAGACAGCATTCCATCCCGACGCACACACCCCCACCCCCGACCACATGCACACACACAAGGAACCTGTGTGTGTCACTAGGCAACACACATCCCGTGGATACAGACTCAGGTGTTTCAAAGGACAGGATGCTCACACACTCACCACCGCTATGACAGGAATAAGCACGCCCAGGTTCCCCGCACTGCTGGAGGCCTAGGAGAGAGAACAGCGATGTTACTGAATAGCATGTATCACACACACACACATGCCCCACAGCCTTAGGTAAAGTTGGAATTCCTTCACACACAAGGCCTGGCAAAGACTAGAGGAAGAGAAATGCATACACAAAACAAAACAAACTCACAGCCATTGAGTAGATGCCAACTCACAAGAACCCTACAGGACAGGGTAGAGCTGCCCCTGTGGGTTTCCAAGACGCTACTCTTACAGGAGTAAAAAGCCTTGGTTTTTCTCCCGAGGAGTGGCTGGTGGTTTTGAACTGCTGACCTTGCAGTTAGCAGCCCAACGAGTAAACACTACCTGAGCAGAAATCTGATATGATGTAGGATGTAACCTGGTGTGATGTAGGTGAACAAGAACCTGGCTGGCTGGGCCAAGAGGGAAGTAGAGAAGGGGCCAGGTGTTCATATGACCTTATGAAGCTACCGTAACTGCCTCAACCACCCTGCCCCCTGATCTCTGGGGGGTTCCAGACCTGCAACTGTCTGCCCCATGGACCTTTGCTCTGAGACAATGCTCCTCATGCTGTCACCGTACTCTGACCAAAAATGCTTCACAGCCATGCAAGGCACAGCCACTTCCCCTGGCTTCAGTGTGGATGAGAGAAGAAGCGAATGGCTGGGCCTAGGCCATCACCATCCAGGGGATGGAGATCAGGGATAGGTGAGCTCTCCTTTCCCTTCAGCATCCCACTTCCAGCTTAGACCACTGGCTGGATTTATATGGCTTAAGGAAAACACCCCCGCCCTACCTCCACCCTGCCCCAAATGGCACCTGGAGACCCAAGTCAGGCCTAGCCTACCTTCAGGGCAGGGCCTTTCTCGCTGGCACGCTCGCTGGCACGCTTCCCCTCCAAGCCCAGCTGCACAAACAGCTCCAGCAGGTTCATCAGCAGCTCGTCCACCAGGTGCTCATCCTGGATGTTGGCTGCGATGTTGGCCAGGGCATTGATGACGGCCAAGGAGCAGTGCCTGAGGGGACGGGACCATCAGCCCAAAGTAGGAAACACCAGGCTCCTGAGATGCTGCCCTGTCCTCGCCTCCCCAGGCCCTCACCATTTCAAAGGCTGGACCCCCCAGGGCCCAGCTACATGCAGGAGGAGTGAGGAAGGGCCATTGCAGTAAGAGCAGTCCCTTGAAGAGAGCCCCTGCCACATGGATGGGCAGCCATTACCCTCTCTTCTGAGACGTGTGGATAGCCTCCAGGAGGCTGTCAGTATTTCCGGGGCTCACAAATGTTGAGGGTCAGCCATAGGGCACTAAACACATAGGGCTCACCTCAGGGATGGCCTGGCTGGGGCTTGTATTCCACCCCTATCCCCCTTAAAGACATCATTACGAGCTGGCACTGAGTCCACCCCCAAACTGAAGGGATCCCATGCAAACAGGATTGACTGCGAGGACCCACGGAGGGTTCACTGGCTGACTGCTCAGACGCGGGATGCCAGGCTTCCAGCATACCTTCCCAGTCCACCTTCGCCTGGAGGCGCCAATGAAACCTGCGCAGCATGAGGGCAACACACGTGGGCCCACCTCTTGGACGACCTGTGGCTCATGCAGGAGGTGCACGGGGCAGAAACCACCCAGGTCTCCCGGATGGAGGGGAAGAGCCAACCACCAATCCATCCTGCTCTCCCTCAAATGACAGACCCCAAACCCCACTGCTGTCTAGTTGACTCAAACTCAGTGCCACCCACCGCAGGGCAGTTGAGACTATCAATCTTTACACAAGCAGACAGCCTCAACCTCCCGTCTTGGGGTGGCTGGTGGATTTGAAGCACCAACCCTACAGTTAGTGGGCTAACACTCACCCACAATGGCACCAGGGCCCCTCCCTCAAACAACATAAACCCGAAACTCATCACCAAACAAAACCCGCCAGTTGATTCCAATACAAAGCAACTGTCCATAGAGCTGCTAGGTCTGTCCATCTTTATGTGAACAGACAAGTTCATCTTTCTCCCTCCCAGCAGTTGGTGGGTTTGAACTGCTAGACATTGGGGTTGGCAGGTCAATTCATCGCTACCATTTGTAAAACTAGTTGCCATTCCGATATTCTCTCTGCTTGGGGACTAACGCTCATTGCTTAGGAAGTTATCTTTGGCCTGGGACGTCCTCAGGATCCCACCAGCTTCACGTCAGAGTGGCTAGGACGCCCCCACACATGGACGCCTCGAGCCAGAGAGGTTAGCCGAGCTTCTTTGAGCTCCCCTCTGTGAGCGCCAACAATGTGCTGCACAACCCTGTGTGCACCTTAAAAGCCTTTGGACCTCAGTTTGTACAAGTACAGGCCATGCAGAGATTGAGCCTCCAGTGCTAGGGTCTGGACGTCAAGGGCATGGACGTAACCAGGGGAACAGGGGTTTGTATCTGGGGGTTGAATAGAAGGTAGAGGGCACTGGCAGCTGGGCCCCTCAGGGGGCTGGGGAGGAGGCGGTACTGAAGAAGAGCGCCTGAGCGCCCGCCTAGCCATTGCTCCTGCAGCGTCAGCCACTGCTCTAGTCACTGCTGCCCATCCACACAAGCCCCGGTGCAGAGTAGACACTAACTGCCAGGTGGGCAGTTTGAAATCACCAGCTGCATGGGAAAAGATGGGCTTACTCCTCCTGTGAAGAGCTGCTGTCTCGGACACCCACAGGGGCAGTTCTACCCTATGCTCTAGGGTTGCTGTGAAGTGGAATGGACTCGTTTGGTTTTCAGAGGTTTTTTGCTTGACTTGATTCTGACTCAGTGTGGCCCTCTAGGACAGAGCAGAACTGTTCCTTAGGGTTTCCAAAGCTGTCATCTTTATGGGAGCAGACAGCCTCAACTTTCTTCCACAGTGCAGCTGGTGGGCTCGAACTGATGATCCTCAGTCAGGTGCCCAGTGCTTAACCTGAGGTATAGCTAGGGCTTCTTAACATGTCATGTGCATGGTCTCATTCAGCCGCACACCTAAAATCTGAGTGGCCAGGGCCCAAGGCTGCAGAGACACGGGGAGAGCCTCTGTCATTGCCGAGGTTGCTCGGTCCTGGGTGGTGCTGCCCAGTAAAGTGCCAAGCCTCAGGGGTCTCCATCGACTCACGGACTAAAGTGCCCACTTCCCTTGCTCCCTCAATCCCACTTCTCCATATAGACAAGCTCCTAAGACAAGCATTCAGCCAAATTCACAGCCACCGAATTAATTCTAACTCAGTGACCATACAGCACAGAACAGAACTGGCTGTCAGGGTTTCCGCCAGTCTCTAGAGGAGCAGACTGCTGCCTTACCACCTTTCTCCCGTAGGTTTGAACTGCTGGCCTTCCAGTGGGCACTTGGACACTTAACCCACTGTGCTACAAGGGCCTCTGAGGGAAGCTCATGGACATGCAGCTGTCTGATGCTATGCTCAATGGCAGAAAAATGGGATAGCCGAGACCAAGCTCAGGGCCTGGCTAGCCAAAGCACAGCCTTCAGAGAGGATGCTCACTACTCGACCCACACGCACAATGGTGGGTACTGGCGGAGTCTGTGCGGACGGTAGGGCCTGGAAAGACCCTTGCCTGGTGCTGTGTGCGCAGGTGAGATTTCCCTGTCTGTTGGACCAAGCTCACTGCCATCAAGCAGATGCCAACTCTATAGGGCAGAGTAGAACTGATCCTGAGGGTTTCTGAGACCAACTCCTGGTGGGCGTAGAAAGTCCTATGTTTCTCCCTCAGAGTGGCTGGTGGTTTTGAACTGCTAACCTTGCAGATCACAGCCCAATTCATAGCCACTCCACTAAAGGACCCGTTTCGATTGGAAGCTTCTTTAAAAGATGCGTCCTCAACCTCCAAGGCGCACTTTCAAAGGAAGTTAAATGCTGCTGCGGCGGGAGGAGGTAACGGGGCCTTACCTGTAGCCATGGTCCTTGTAGTCTTTGGTGGCTGAGTACACAACCGAGCTGGCCTTCACACTGATTTGCTGAAAGAGATTCCACACTTCCTGGTAGATATATTGCTGCAAAAGAACAAGGGAGGCGTCATCACACTGACCCTCACCAGAAACCCCCAAAAGGCTTGTCCTCCCTTCCTCAGTTAGCAGATTACTAACCCTAACAGACTGCCTGCCCATGGCATGCAGTTTGAAAGCTTTCACCAAATCTCATGCGAAAAGAAGGTGCCCGGGTGGTGTTGTAGTTACACTTTGGGCTACAATCCACAAGGTCTGCCGTTTAAAACCACAGCCCAAGGCTCTGAGGACGAAAGATGAGACTTTCTACTCCCGTAAAGAGTGACAGTCTTGGAAACCCACAGGGACAGTTCTACCCTGTCCCACAGGGTCGCTGTGAGTCAGAAGGGACTTGGTAGCAGAGTTTACTTTATGTTTTAGTTGGAATCAGAGGCTTTTGATGAGGTGTGCACCAGGTGGGCAGGTTCCCACACCTGGCCCTCCAGGGAAGGGGTTCCCTTACATTTCCTGTGATGACCAGGCAGCCCAGCTGGTCGATGATGAGCACGTCAAGCGGGGAGGGGGGCTGGCAGAATTTCTGCTGCAGGATCTGTAGAATCGGCTCCATGACCTTGGGCGTGTCCCTCAGGGCCACTGCAATGTGGCCTAAGGCCCGGATTGTGTGGTCGGGAATCAGGTGGGCATCCCTGTGGGTAAGGGGGAAAGGACAGAAACATGTGGGGACAGAAAGGGCAGAAACATGTCCTCTGGCCCTTGAGAGTGAACACTCTGTCTGCCAAGCCCCAGCAAAAGCCCCGAATGTGAGTCCTCAGCTACATAGACCTCCACCTCCTCATGACGTTGAAGAGGCATGCATTCAAAAATGCTAGGCAGGGGCATGTAAGAGCAGGAGAAACATCCAGAAGCCCTGGGTGGTGGGCTGGGATGGCACACCTTCTCTCCTCCCACAGATGCCAAGGAGAGGTCACATGAAGGCTGTGACAACCTTCAATGACACGGAAAGAGGCACTGAACAATCAGGACAGCTTTGGGGAACCCCATGGTGCCATCAACACCAACACCAACTGTTTCAAAACAATCTAGAAAGATTAAGACCACGCACCTCCATGCTGCATGTATGGTGAAAGAAAAGCCCTATTCCTCCTGGCAACTGTGTTCTATGGAAATCCCAGCCTCCCCCTGCCCCCTTTTCTAGCTAGGCGAGGCACCAGTTGTTCAACATAGCCTGTCTTTCTCATCGCCACTTACCCAGCGCCTGACCCGCAGGCACCAGCCCCTCGCTGTAGCTTATGTCTGATTACAGTCTAACAAAAAATTTTGGGGTGTGTGTGTGTCTTGGTTCTTAGGCCTTTCCCTGGGGTTATTTGGGGTGCTGATTCAGAAAAGCAGCTTTAGTGGCATAGTGTTATGTTTTGGGCTGCTAACAACAAGGGCAACCGTTTAAAATCACTACCGTTCAGAGTGAGAAAGAGGACGCTTTCTAGTCCCGTGCAGAGTTACAGGCTCAGAAACCCACAGGGCAGCTCTACCCTGTGCTACAGAGTCGCTGTGAGTCAGAGCCAACTTGATGGCAGTGAGTTTGTTTTTGTTTTAATTCAGAAAATTGCATTGGATAGACTCTATCAGCTCTGGTTTCCAGTTTCTTGCATGTCATATGACTAAAGAGTTTGCATCAGAAATCTGTGCTTTGATATGAAGTAAGTAGGTTTTCATGTAGTATACTTTTCATTTTAATACATGTCCAACTTGTTTGAAGGGGATAGTAATTTAAAGACTACTGTAAAATATCCTGATTTACCCCACCCCCCTACGTGCAAGCAGAATGAAGAGTGGTCGATGGCATATGTTCTGTGTCTCAAAAACTAGTACAGATAGGAGATAACTGGTGTCATTTTTTGGAACTATTAAAAAAACTGCCATCAAAAAACAAAACAAAACAAAAAACTGCCATCAAGTCGATCCCAGATTATAATCCTTCGGCATATTTCACACTCCTGGGAAGACAAGGTCTAATACAGAAGAAAGAGAGAACAGACAGGTTGGTGAGGCTGTGTTTGCAAGTTTCCCCAGGAGACAAGCTTCTTCCATCCTGGAAACTCCATGGAATTGCCATCTTCCAGGCCTTTCTTGGCCACCTGTGTGGGATGCTTACCATGGACCCCAGGTGGTCTCCCTTGCTCCAATCAGCACCCCCACCGGCCTCAGTGATGATCTGGCTCTCAGAAACCAGGACCTGAGTCAACGTGTCTGCTGCAAGGTGGTGTCCACAGCTCCCAAGCATACCCTCCTCCCTGCCCCCGCCTGGGTGGCACCTACTTGTCACTTTCCTGGGAGATGTACAGCCGGTTGGACAGACTGGACAGAAAGGCCTCCACAATCACGGGGTCCACTGTCAGGCCAGCTTTCAGGCACCTAAGGACATCCACAGGGCAGTGAGCACCCACAAGCAGTTTTCCCTCTATCCCCCTTCCCCCACAAGTCCCAGGTCCACATGGTTTAAATGACAGACCAGACATCCCCCCCCATATATCTGAAAGTCATTACACAGTGTGGAGTTGGAGAAGGGATGCAGGGCCAACTTTGCCCACTTGATTGGTGTCTCCGTGGAAAACAAAGAAAGGAGAAACCCCACACCCGTTGCTCTCCAGCAGATTGCGACTCATGGGGACTCTTGAGTGGGGCCTCTAATCTTCATGGAAGCAGGTCACCAGAACTTTCTTCCGTGGTGACACCCACTAGGCTTGAACCACAACCTTGAGGTTGGTAGTCGGCACGAGCAGACTATCCCAAACCCCTGCTGTGGGGGTTGGATGATTTTAAGTCAACTAGACACTCTTGGTTAGGGGTGGTGTCAAACTTGTCAGCTTGATGATGCCTTGTGTGTGTGTTCTTTTGTATGAGAGGGAGGGACTCTGGGACCCACTCTCTCTGCCTTCCTGCTTGCTGGAGCTCTGCTGGCCTCGAAGGGTGGCCTCGTGGGGGCCGCCTGACTCTGAGAGCTGCAGGCACTTCGCCACTTCGCATGGACCATGAATTCATGCGATTCTGCACCCCCTGGCCTGTGATCTCCCTGCTTTCTGGTACACTAGTCTGTGTCACCAGCATGGGGCTACATGAGTCTAAGGAGGGACTTAGGGACTAGCATCGACTTAAGGATTTGAGTTGGACTGGGCTGGGATCCCCTCACGACACACAAGTACTCCTACACATACCTTTTTTTACATAGATGAGTGGCACTGGATGTGTTTCTCTAGACAACCCGGCCCAACACCCCTCCTAAACACCTCCCATTGGAAACAAGAGCCTGGTTATTTTGCCCAGAACAAGTTCCTTTGGGATGCCACGCTTGGCCTGAGTTCAATCTCACATTTCTTGTATTGTTCCTGAAAACTACTAAGGTGCCCCGGTGGCTCAATGGGCTCCAGGGCTGCTAGCCACCAAGCCCTCCGGCTGCTCCCTCCAAGGGAGAAAGACAAGGCTGTCCGCTCCCGTAAAGACTGATAGTCTGGGAGACACGGAGCAGCCTTACTGGGTCTCTAGGAGTTGGAATCAGCTCAATGGCAATGGGGGTGTTGAATGGACTCCAAAGATGAAGGACCCCAAGAGAGCAGGGGCAATCTTATACAGATACCCGGAGGTTTTCACAGACTAGAAAAAGCAGCCCCTCAATCTCTGGCCTCTTACACGGGTTCTTTGACCCTGTATATCAGGCTCTTCAACTATAGACTGGTGTGTGACCCTGGCTAAACTTGGTTGATGAGAGCCGGAAGTCAGATAGATGCCAAGAGGGAGAGTCGTGTTCTGATGTGAATGAAAATGTACTGTTTCTGAGTCAAGAGAGCAAGAATGCCCACTGCTCATGCTCACATTTATATTGTAAGGAATAATAAATTTTTAAAAAGGCATCCCTGGGTGGTGCAGTTTCAAGTCCTCCCCGGGGTGCCTCAAAGAAAGGCCTGGCCATTGACTTCCAAAGGCTCAGCCCTTGGAAAGCCCATGGACAAGTCTCGAGCTGGGGCGCACCCACATCTGCCTTGAGTCGGAGGTCACGCTATGGCGATGGTGTAGTAAAACGGCACTTTGTAGAAAAAAGATCTGGTGTGAGAATGGCTGTCACTTCCTGTGGCAGGCCAGGGTAGTAAGTCTTTCCTTTCTACTTCACGAGACGATTTTCCTCCAATATGCAGCTTTAATTTTATTTAAGAGAAAAGAAGGAAAGCAGCTTTGGTCCTCACAAATCTACGATGGGAGCCCTGGTGGCACAGTGGTTACATGTTCGGCTGTGGTCCACAAGGTCAACAGTTCGAAGCCACCAGCTGCTTGACGGGAGAAAGACGGGCACTTTCTACTCCCGTAAAGGGCTACAGTCTCAGAAACCCACAGGGGCAGTTCCACCTTGCCCTGTAGGATCACTCTGAGTCAGAATTTACTCAGTGGCAGTGGGTTTGGTTTTTTGTGTGTGTGTTTAATCTACAAATAATTGTATTGACATACCGTACAATAAATAATGAAACATTAAAATGCCTGATTTTTAGAAGGTTAAATGGATAATAAGGATAAATTTGAACAATAGTACAAGAAAAAAAACAAACAAGGTGACAGTCTGCCAGGGCTGCCAGACTTGTGCACTGGTTGGGAAGTGTGCTAAGTTCTTGACTCATGGCACTTCTCAAGGCGGGAGATCTCGCATGAGGAGAAAATGCCTCCCCTGCAGTTACAGAGAAAACCAAACTCACGGTCATCGAGTCGATGCCGACTCATAGTGACCGACAGATCAGGGTGCAACTGCCCCTGTGGGTTTCCGAGACGTAACTCTTCACAGGCGTAGAAAGCCTCATCTCTTTCCCACAGAATGGCTGGTGGTTTCAAACTGGTGGCTTTATGGTGAGCAGCCGCACAACTTCTCCACCACCAGGGATCCCTCCACCATAGGTAGGTTGGGAAACAACCAAGAATAAGTGTAGAAGTATGTTGTGGTTTGTTGCCATTAAGTCAGCCCTTGACTCCAGGAGAACCCAGCACATTGGCAGGGGGTCTGACCCTGTCCCACTTTCAGGAGCGGATCACCCGGCATTTCTTCCTCATCTGCCCTCATCCAGAAGGGCCACTGAAAACCTGCTCAGCAGCACCATATGCAAGCCTTGAGGAGGTACCTGCAGTGCACTGAGCCCGGGCCTCCTGCATAGGAGGGCAAGGCTTCCCCCAGTGAGGCCAAGGCCACTGCTGTGTGCCCTGTGTGCCCACCTGCAGATGTTGTCGATGGCGATGTCTCGAAGCTGCTCGTACATGGAGGGCTGGCACTTCTTTCCCGACATGACGTTCAGGGTGGACTCAGAATGCTCATTGGTGATGCTGATCTTTATATCATTGCCGGCCACTGTGCGTGAATTCAGACAGGCACCCGGTTAGGCCTAGGGCTCTCCACCCACCTCTCTATCCCTCAGAGGCTATGCTGCTCTTACTACCAAGTGCTCTGAGAGGAGGCACGTGCGGCGGGCTTGGCTAGAATGGGAGGAAAACGTGGAGGGATACTCCACGTGGCTGGAGAGATCAGGCTTGCTGGTTGGACAGAGACTGGTGGAAGTTTGAGACTGTGGGCTTCAGGTCTGGAAGTAAACCACCCATGGGACTTGATTTCCCAATCAGTAACAG